TTTGAAGCCTGAAGTAGAGTCCGTTCACGTTACGATGCCCACTTCAGTGGTCATCTGGCCTTTCTACCACCAGTGGCACTTGTGGTGTTCTGAGGATGGCAGTCTGGGGACTGGGGTGTGTGGCCTCTGCTTTTCCTTGGAGATGCAGTGCAGGCTCTGCCCAGGGAGAGCTCAGTGACCCTGTGGATCTCTTCTCAGCCCTCCTCCCTGGCACACACGTTTGGCTGGAAGCTATCCAGAGATTTTGTGTCATTACTTTCTTTTTTTCTTTCATCCTCACCCGAGGATATTTTTTCCATTGCTTTTCAGAGAGAGAGGGAGGGAGGAGGGAGAAAACATTAACGTGAGAGAGAGAGACACATTGTTGACTGGTTGCCTCCGCGCATGCCCAGACTTGGGGCAGGGAGCAAACTTGTGACCCTCTGGGGCACGGGCTGGCGCTCTAACGGCTGAGGCACCGGCCAGGGCTGTGTCTTCACTTTTGATAAAGAAAATGCACCAAGAAGATGAGACTTTGCCCAGCGCTCGATGGTGCTTGTTCAGCGAGCGCCTCTGCGTATGCGGTGTCTGTCAGTATGTTGGCTGTGTCGAGGGGTCTGCTTGGTGGTGGTTTCGATCGGTGCTCACAGAACTCCCTGCAGTGGTGGAAATGTCCCGTATCTGCTGCTGTGCAGTGCGGTAGTCACTCGCCCCAGGTGGCTCCTGAGCACAGAGAATGTGGCTAAGGCCACAGAGAAGCGGAGTTTTTAATGTTTATTAGGTTTTAGTTAACATAAATAGTCACGCGGGGCTCGGGACGACTGTTTCTGACAGCACAGATTTAGACCATTGTTTCTTAAACTGTTTTGACTGAAACCCACAATAGTAAAAAAGAGTACATTTTGCATCACAGCCCAACAACATTGGCATGGTTATATATTTTAAAAATAAAAATGTTATGAACGATACCCTTACGAAGTAATGCACTCTGATATTTTCTGTTCCGATTTTTAAAAATATGTTTTTATTGGTTTTGAGAGAGAGAGGAAGGGAGGGGGAGAAAGAGCTAGAGAAACATTGCCCAGATGTGAGAGAGAAACATCCATCGGTTGCCTCCTGTACCCCAATGGGTTCTGAACCCGCAACCTGGGCATTTGCCCTGCTCAGGAATCAAACCGGCAACCTTTCGGTGCACAGGACGACGCTCAACCAACTGAGCCACATGGCCAGGGCGATGTTCAGTTTTTTTAATGCTGGTTAAGATGAACTAAGTTGGTTTCAGGACATACTAATAGGTTGTACCCACAGTTAGCAAACCACCACTGGAGGCAGTTGGCTCTCAGGATGTCACTGGCCAGTGCACACCAGCCGGTATTTGTCTTTGGAGTGACCCCTCTGCCAGCGTCTGGCTCAGCTCCTCTGGAAGCCAGGCTGGGGGAGCTGCGCAGAGCCAGCAGCATTGCTGAAGGCATATATGTTTTGTGTATGTGTCAAAATATATATATATATACACACACACACACACACACCCCTTTTGTTTGTTTTGTTTTGTATATACAACTAGTAGAAAATACGTAATTTTGAAGTAAAAAGGAAAGAAACAACCCGTTAGGATGTGAGCTATGATCACTGCCGGGTATTTTTCTCACGTGGCTACTATGTGCTCTCCCCACCCACGTGCCGCTCGCCTGTCCAGCACCTGCTGCGTGTCCAGGTGGTCCCAGAGCTCAATTTCATTCGGTTCTGTTCTTCAGCAGCCCAGCGAGGCAGGCCCTGTTATCCCCGCTCAACAGAGAAGGAGCTAAGCGTTTGTGGCTTTGCCTTGGGCTTCCTGAGCACACCGATGGCATGGAGACCCACCAAGGGTGTGTGGGGGTGGTCACTTTGATCCCTGAGACGTGGGTGCTTTGATGAGTGAGTCCCTTTCTTGCTCCAGGTGGCCCTGTGCACCCAGGTGGCCCTGGGCATGGAGCACCTGTCCAACAACCGCTTTGTGCACAAGGACCTGGCCGCTCGGAACTGCCTGGTCAGCGCCCAGAGACAGGTGAAGGTGTCGGCCCTGGGGCTCAGCAAGGACGTGTACAACAGGTAGAAGGACGTGGGTGGGTGGGGTGAGGGGTAGAGGGAAGGTGTGGGAGGTGTGGGGAAGGGCTGCTTAGTCTAAAACGGAGAGCCCAGGAAGGGACAGAGGCTTCCTATCCTCTCTCCAAGGGTGCAGCAGGCGTCCTAGCCATTGGGACACAGGTCCCTGTCGCTCATAGGTTTTTCTCTAGTGATAAAATATTACAAACCTTTAAAAAATAACTAGTAGGTTTTATAACAGTTTGTATGTAACTTAACTATTTGTATGGTTCCCTCTGTACCTTCCTGAATTCACTAATTACTATTTTGAATCCTAAGACTTGAAGCTCGGCGCCAGGGCCAGAGATGCTCTGGGACGCCCATCCACACTGCAGAGCGCCTGGGGGCGCTGGGAACTCCCCCTCCAGTCAGCCCAGCGCTCAGTCATACATCAGTCATGCTTTAGTCATGATTGATGTATTACTAAAGCTTTTTAAATGTTCTTTCCACTTAACATGTTCTCCTTTTTCACGGTTTTAAAACCAGTGCCAAAAGTATGTATGATTATTAGCTTTTTATTTTTATATTAAAATGTAGGCAAAATTTGGTTCTTAGAGGAATTTTTAACCATCAACCCCATGTGGACGCCCCCAGATTTCATTCCGTGTACCCCTATGTTACCAGTTTCTCTTGAGTGCCTTGAGGTAGAAAAGTTGGGTCCTAGCGCTCGTATGAGACTCAGACCTGGGATGAGGGATCTGTGGTCCCTCACCACAACCCACCCGCCTCTGTGAGCCACGGAGGCCCCGCCCCCACCCCCACGTGTGGTTTTCTTCTGCAGTGAGTACTACCACTTCCGCCAGGCGTGGGTGCCTCTGCGCTGGATGTCCCCCGAGGCCATCCTGGAGGGCGACTTCTCCACCAAGTCTGATGTCTGGGCCTTTGGTGTGCTGATGTGGGAAGTGTTCACCCATGGAGAGATGCCCCATGGCGGGCAGGCCGACGACGAGGTGCTAGCAGGTAGGCAGCTGTGTTTCCAAGGGACCATTCCACAGGTTTTTCCAGGTGGAGAGTTTGCTCAGGATCCTGGGGGCAGCTCAGCCTGCCTCCCCTCAGGGCTGGTCATAGCAGGTACACAGACAGGGCCACTCCTGGTGTTGAAATACCTTCACGTTGGTTGGTAACAGCCCTCGCCCACAGTGACCACTCCAGCCACTGACACCTGCCCCCATGCACTGGTTGCCTCCTGTGCTGTGTGGACCCTGACCCACCAGCCCGGCAGAGCTGGGGCCAGGGGAGTTACCCCTTTGGTTGCAAGATACTTCCCCTGTACTCCTTGAGTCGGTACCCACCGGCCACTGGCCAGTGGCCCCCACCCCAGGTCGCCCTCCAGTGGCTGCTTGTGGGTACTGCCGGCTCCACAGAGTGTTGGACAGGAGGTTAAAAGTTTGCCTAACTCTGATTTTCCTGCAGACTTGCAGGCTGGGAAGACCAGACTCCCACAGCCTGAGGGCTGCCCTTCCAAGCTCTACCGGCTGATGCAGCGCTGCTGGGCCCTCAGCCCCAAGGACAGGCCCTCCTTCAGCGAGATTGCCAACACCCTGGGAGACAGCCCTGCAGACAGCAAGCCATGAGGAGGGAGCCCAGGCAGGCTGAGCCTCAGGCTGGCGTGGGCACGGGAGGACCTCCTGACAGGTGCCTGCAGCATGATGGGCAAGATCCCTGTCCTCCTCGGCCCTCCGGGCCCCACCCTGGCCCCACAGGCACTGCTGAGGTTTGGGCTGGGCCTGTGATTCTCTCCTCTCTCTTACCCTCAGCCCTTTGGGGGGTTGACTCGGACCCGGACTGGTGACTAGGACCTTGGGCTGGGCAGCTTTTTCTGCCACCCCTCCCCCCATCAGGGGCAGTGTGGGTGCCTCAGGTAACACCAATTTCTGGCCTGGGTCTCCGCCCCTTGGCCAGGTGCAGTTCCGCCCCTCACCTGCTAACTTTGCCCAGGGCAGGCGAGGCTGCAGATGAGCCGGGTTGGAGGGGCGTTCCTTAATATACTCAAATTCCTGGGTAGTGCTGGCCCACGGGGCAGAATATTTTATCACCTCGGGGTCTGCGCCAGAATCGGGGAGGACACAGCCAGTGCGTCCTCCCCACATGGACTTGTGCACGCTGACCCTGACCTGTGTCTCCTCCCCACCCTTCTCTCCTTTCCTCATCCTAAGTGCCTGGCAGATGAAGGAGTTTCAGGAGCTTTTGACATTATATAACCCGCCCTTTTTGTATGCACCACGGGCGGCTTTTGTATGTACCGTACTCGCAGCGTAGGGTGGGTGGGCATGGGAGGGAGGGGTGCGCCTTGGAGGAGATGGGGACGGGGACCACCCCTGCCTCACACTTTTATTGTTGTTGTGTGTTTGTTGTTGTTTTTTTACACTCACTGTTCTCAATAAAGAAGCCTTTTTTACAACCTGTTTCTGATGCTCGTTCTCTGCCATTGCCCTTGAGTCGTGTCCCATCTTCCCTTGCTTGTCAGCAGGGGCCATGTGCCTTTATGGAGTCTAGTGAGGCTCGGACGGGAATACCTGGCAGACACTGGTCCTTCTTGCTGATCTTTGGGGAGCAATTAAGAATGTGGGCTTAGGCCCTGACCGGTTTGGCTCAGTGGATAGAACGTCGGCCTGTGGACTGAAGGGTCCCAGGTTCAATTCCAGTCAAGGGCATGGACCTTGGTTGCGGGCACATCCCCAGTGGGGAGTGTGCAGGAGGCAGCTGGCGATGTTTCTCTCTCATCGATGTTTCTAACTATCCCTCTCCCTTCCTCTCTGTAAAAAATCAATAAAATATATATTTTTTTTAAAAAGAATGTGGGCTTAGGAGGCAAGACCACCTCTTGTCCATGGGATCCTCCAACTGCCAACCACTTGTTCTCTGCTGGCTGGCCTAGCACTCATGCTTAGGTGGGGAGGGTGGAAGAGTGAGGACGGACAAGTTAGAGTAGGTGTGGAAGAGTAGTTAATGACAGATTCAAGTCTCTGAATACCTTTAAGACTTTAGGAGGGAAATGGAGTGGAGAGTATTGAGCAAAGATGATGCTCGATGCCCGAAGCTCCAGAGCCCTCAGCTGATTCGATCCTGCCTCTTCTTTACATAGACCCGTGTCATGTTATTTTCTTCCTTATTCCAGTGACTTCAGCCTGTGCCCCACCCTAAAGAAATGAGTCCTTAACTCTGAAATTGCTCTAGTTCATTCTGTTCCTCACCATACTTCTCAGTCATGAGAATAACAGCTAATATTTATTGAATACTTGCTCTGTACCAGTCACTTTGCTAAGCACTTAACATGCATTATCTCACGTAATCTCTGTGACTGCTTTGTTAGCCCGATGTTACTGTCCCCATTTCACAGATTAGAAAATGCTCAGGGAGGCCAGATAGTTTGCCCAGGTCACACAGCTAGTAATTGAGCCACTTATTGATACACAGTGCGTTGCATCCCACAGATGTGTTGGAATGGGAAAAAAACCCCAAGAACAATTTCTCTAGAGCAGTGCTGTGGTTTTTTTGTTGGTTGTTTGTTTTGGTAAAACATGAACTCTGATCCATGTTCCTTTTTAAAAAAAAAACAACACCTATGTTTTTATTGATTTTAGAGAAAGGGAGGGAGAGGGAGAGAGATAGAAACATCGATCACTTGGCTCCTGCACACCCCTGACTGGGAATCGAGCTTGCAGACTGGAAACCAGGCATGTCCCCTGATCCGGAATCAAACCAGTGACTTCTTGGTGCCTGGGACGATGACACTCAAGCAACAGCAACACGGCTGGGCTCCGGAGCAGTGTTTCCAAGCTGCGGGCTACAATTAGCTTTTTAAAAATACAGAACGTGCCGAAACCAGTTTGGCTCAGTGGATAGAGTGTCGGCCTGCGGACTGGGGGGTCCCAGGTTTGATTCCGGTCGGGGGCATGTGCCTGGGTTGCGGGCACATCCCCAGTGGGAGATGTGCAGGAGGCAGCTGATCGATGTTTCTCTCTCATCGATGTTTCTAACTCTCTATCTCTCTCCCTTCCTCTCTGTGAAAAATCAATAAAATATAAAAAAAAATAATTAAAAAAAATAAATAAAAATACAGAACGTGATAGAAACCATCTTTTACAAGGTCTTGTTTGTAATATTTGATAGACGTTTGTGTATACTGGGTTATGTTATTAGTCAGCTACTGGGTGGTGATCCTGCATAATAACAGTCACAACAAGTCTGAGTCACAACAACAATTTGTTTTTCTCCCTCATAGATCTGAAGGTCGGTAAGGTTCAGCTCATCTTGGTTGGATCTAGCTAAGTTCAGCTGCGCGTGGTTGTAGGCTGTAGGACGGTTTTGGGTCTAACCGGCTGGTCCTAGAGCATGCTCTCGTGTAGTAGCAGGAGCACACGAGATCAAGCCAGATCACGCAAGCACATACATGTGAAACCACAAGTCTGTTAACATGTTATTGGCCAAAGCACATCACATGTCAAAACCCAACAGCAGTAATAGGTTCTGCAAAGTCGCATGGCAAAGGATGGGGATATCTAACTCCCACACAGGGTGTGGAAAATTGGGAGCAAGAACCTAATTCCCCACTGGTGGTGATGTGAAAATGATTTCTTAACATGGGTTGCACTCAGAAGGACTCTTGAAGGTCATTCACCACTAATCCTTTCCTCCCTCCTGGTCTTTCTTGACCATTCAGCGGCGGCTAACACTGTCAGCCGCATTGGCCTTTCAAACTTCCCTCTCTGGACTGTGGTGATGCCATCTCCATCGTCATCTTTTTCTGACTAGGCCTTCTCCAGCTCTGGCTGAGGCTTCCTTCTTCTGCCTGCCCGGGAGGTTACTGTTTTTCTGAATTCTGTTCCTGGCCGTCCTCTCTGTGTTCTCTCCTGCAGGAATCTCACATCAAGTGGCTTTAATTGGCCCTTTAGTGTGGACAGTTCTCAAAGCATTAGCTGCAATTCCAGCCTCTTTCTCAAGCTTCAGACACATCTACCCATTTTCTTTCTTTTTAACATTTAAAAAAATGTATATATCTGTATTGATTTCAGAGAGGAAGGGAGAGGGAGATAGAAACTTCAATAAGAGAGAATTATTGACTGGCTGCCTCCTGCCCACCCCCTACTGGGGATCGAGCCCAAAACCCGGTATGTGCCCTTGACAGGAATCAAACCCAGGACCCTTCAGTCAAACAGGCCGACACTCTAGCCACTGAGCCAAACCAGCAAGGGTTCAAGCCCCATTTCTTACAGGACATTTTCCTCTGCTTGTTTCCCTGGGCCAGGGGTCCTCAAACTTTTAAACAGGGGGCCAGTTCACTGTCCCTCAGACCGTTGGAGGGCCGGTCTATAGTTTAAAAAAAAACTATGAACAAATTCCTATGCACACTGCACATATCTTATTTTGAAGTAAAAAAACCAAAATGGGAACAAATACAATATTTGTATTTGCATGTGGCCCGCGGGCCGTAGTTTGAGGACCCCTGCCCTGGGCCCAAACTGAATTTCTCTCTCCCAAACCTGGTCCTCTAACCAAGTTCTCTCTTTCCATTAATGGTACCACTGTTTGAAGACTTTATTCACAATCTCTATCATGAGTCTCCTCTCTGTGTACCCCCCTCCCCGTGCAGCCTCTCCCCAAGATCCACTTATTCTACCCTTTCCCTGTTTCTATCGTTGCTTCATTTTAAGAGAAAAGAAAATTGTATAAAAGTAATACTGATCATGGAAGAAGTCAAGCGGTGCCGACGTGTATAAAGCAAGGGGCCCGCTCTGCTAGTCCCTCTCGCCCTCTCCAGTGGTAAACGTTCGTGTTTGGAGCATGGCTTTCCAGACTTTTCCTAGGCACACTGTCCACGACCTCCTTTTGTTTCCGTTCCCTCTAATGCTGCCATTACAACTGAGACCGCTT